TGAAATGAGTGTTTGGTCTCACTCTCTGAGAGAATCTTTTTTGCATTTCTTATATAATTAAGTATTTTGATGATAATTCCAAAATTTTTACGTGATAGCGAGAACATAATGGGTTGGGAGTAACCTTGATGAAAATTGGAAAAATGTATCCTTGAGGGAGGAGAAATCGAATCCAAAACCTTCGAGTTCAAACGTATAAGTAAATAGTATCAATTACTTGAGCCTCCAGCCCTAGATGATACCTATGTTTTTTATTTTTTATACAACAATATTCTAATTTATAAAAGAAAAAGTTACGTTGGCCACACAATCATTGAGTTACTGACCTATCAACCCTGGAAAAAACACCTATGTTTTTGTAGGTTTATTTTAGCTACATCTTTTGTAACTTGATTTCGATCACATTTTACCTTCTATAACTCAAAAGTTACTGTTTCCTCAAACTTCACTCCAAAATTAACGCAAGCTCTCAAAATTGATATTACAATACAAAATGGGTCAGTTTCAGGTACGTCCATTGAAACTTGATTTTAATATAACTTTGCTTCTTATAACTCAAAAGTCATCACTTTACTTGTATTGTATGATATTTACTCTAAATAATTAAGAGCATGCGTTTATCACACAATAGACCAACGTCGAAGGCGACCATTACCTATGTCAATATGTTAGAAAAAACTAATTTATTAATTGATTTGTGATCACGTGTGCCGTTAGAAAAAGGCTAATAACTTGACTAATTCTCAATTGGAATGTAATTATGAGTTGATTGATGAGGGTACACGTTCTTAAAATGGTTAACGTCACATCATTAAATTTCAATGGTACTACAAGTACTACAATGTGACCTTAAGATGAACTTATTGATATTTGGTGGAGGAGCAACGAGGGGAAGTTTCTGGGTGTAATGGTTTTCAATTTTTGGAAGAAAGTAGGTGTTTCACGTGCAATTATTATTGAAGAGTCAGTCTTGTTTAATCTTATTTTGTCTTAAAAAAAAAAAAAACATAGGTAAAATTGTAAATTGCTTGATTTAGCCAAAGTTATTGTGTTCATAGTTGTAACATTTTCTTACATAAAGGACTACATTAAAGTGAGGTTGCTCTAAAATCATTGCATTCAAGTAACGGAGAACATACAAAAGCTTTGGAATATTATTTTCGGACAATAGAGCGAAACCTATTCTTACCACAAGAAACTTGCCAATCCATGGTTATACCATGAAGTTACAAAGGTGGTACCGGTGAACCAACCCCCTAAAAGTGAAATAAGCACAAAGAAAGAGTAATAGACTAGACCAACCTACAAAAATGAAGCGGTAACTCCATAACTAGTCATCAATAATATCAAATAAATCATAATATTTAGTTTTACAAAAAAGTTTTGTTTTTCTTTATGCACGCCTCTATTTATTTATGTTTTTTCTTTTTAATTTATTCAATTCAAATATAAAACCAGACATGAGTGTCGAGAAAACAAAATCACGAAAGTCACTTCCCAAGAAAGAACTGTAGAAGTAAAAAATCGAATATGAAATAAATATTGAGCCTTAACTCTTAAATGATATATGTATGATATGTCACAAACTAATTTATTTGGCCATACCGATGGCCAAAATTTCGATTTATATGGCATTGACAAGGGGGTTTCACTTTCATGGGGCCAATATCGAAAGCAAAGTATAACCTCCTACATTAATATATGAACAATGGTATTCATGTTTTGAGAAAAACAATTGCAAAACTTAGGCCCACAATGCTGGCAGTTGAAAAATAATGAGAAAGAAATTGTTTTTATTGTTAGGTATATTAGAACCATGAATTAAATTTCATTTTTTAAGATATTAAAAGAATAAGGTTTAAAAGTTAAAATGGTTTGTGTATTTTACTCTATTGATCAATTTGGTCACTGTGTGTTTAATTTGGCCAAATTGGTCTCCATGTATTTTAATGGTTTTACACTGAAGTTACATTTCTATTCTCTCATTTGCAAGATACATGTTAATTTTAATGGTTTTTTACCAGATTGGCTAACAAGGTAAACACGGAGATCAATTTGGCCAAATTACTCAGGAACCAAATTGACCGATAAGATAACACACAAAGACTATTTTGACATTTAAGCTTAAAAAATAAAACCTTTCTCTCTTTTGGTATCTAACTTAATACTCCAAGTATTACTGAACGTTTGAATATTTAAAAGTGGGAGGAATTCATGGGTACGGAGACTCAGACTAAATGGTCGTTTGATCATGTACACAAAAAACTCCTCACTTCTTTGTATTTTGATCTCATCCATTGTGCTGATTGTTCGTAAAAGGACAAAAGAATTCCTCCTAAGATGAGTAATACATACGAACATAGAGAGATTTGTATTGGAGAATGATGAATAATTATTACATAAATTAAAATTAAAGAAAAAGGAGGAGATGAAAAATCAAGTGGGAGACTTTGGACATTGGAGTCATTTGTCGTAGGTGTGTTAGGTAGAACCATCAAGTTATCCAAAATGGAGAGATGACAAGAAAATAAACCTCATTTATGTGTATGATTCGTGACATCTTCCTGAGATCATCTTCAACCCTTGGGCTAAAAGCCAAATTTTTTAGCCTAAAAACAATTTTTCTACTCCAACTCTTTTGGTTTAAAATTTTAATCCGGGATTATTAAAGAATGAATTTAGGCTAATTTTTTTGTTAAATCATTTTTTAAATAAACATGTAGACTATGGTAAATTAATTTTATGAACATTTTAATATAAAAAAATTTAAATTCCGATAAATATTGAAAAATCATTAAATTTTTGACAGATCAAGCCTTCAACTTTCACCAACCGTTCAACACTAAACTTTCAACTTTCACCATCCGTTCAACTTTCATCAATCATCCTCTATATAAACACAAGTTCAATATTAGTTGATCACACAATCTTTTAACCTTTAATCATCCTCTATATTCACCAATCTTTCAACTTTCAAACAATTTTTGTTTCCTAAAAATCCTCAATATCTCATCAATGGGTGATAGAAGAAGGCATAGTAGGGACAATGCAGATGGCACAATACCAAGCAAGGATTGAGATTGAGGATGCAGAATTGTTCAACGCCAAAGTTGAACTTGTCAACTCGTTTATGCAATCTGAGCACCATGGCGAATCTAGCCATCGTGGTTCTGTCACGAGGCGTTTATTTGTGCAGCATGATAGAGAAGAGTGTTATGACCAAATGATGAAAGATTATTTCATCGAGCGTTTGAGATTTCCTACTCATGATTTTTGGAGGCGGTTTCAGATGAGGAAAGAGCTTTTTGAAAGCATCTTGAACGCAGTTGTCAATCATGACCACTACTTTGCAAGGAAGATAGATGCACCATCTTCACTAACATAAACCCATGCCACGCATAAAGCAACATCTTCCTCACAGGTCCAATTACGACCTCTAATATGCTCTCTTGCCATGTTGAACAATTTGGAAATGGAAAGAAATGGTAAAAAGATAAATTGGAAGAATTGTAGAAGAAAATTGAGTTTGTGTGGATGCTTGAACAAATTTTATAGAGTTTTTGGGTGAATTTTGTGTTAAATAATTTTTTTTAATTATTTTAGCAGTTGGATTTTAATTTAGGCCGTTAGATCTTTTTTTTACCGTTAGATTTGATTATATTCGATTTCAGCCGTTGGATTCAATGTATTTTAAAATAACATATTTTAAAAAAATTGAAATCTGAATCTAGACGGTTGGTTGAACCAACAGTCCTTAAATGATGGTCATCGGATGTGGAAAAGAGCCGTTGGGCTCGAGAGTTGATTGGAAGCAAACCGCGTGGGGTGCATCCGCGTGTGGGCGGGCCGAGACTGGCCCAATTTGCAATGAGTCCACGCGTTTTGGTGGGGGGTGCCGGGAGGGGAATTTGGCCCAGTTTTAACGTTTGGCTTTTAGCCTAATGTTTTAACTTGAGTTGGGTGGTGTTTGGAGGGAAATTTTGAGAGAAAATTTGGCAAATAGCCTAAGGTTGGAGGAGGTTTGAGTGACATAAACAGTACTCATGACTCATGACGCATGACCCATGTGCAAGCAAATCCGCAAGACGCGTGCAAAGTCAAAAAGAAAAGAAAAGAGGGCGGTGATTTGCACGCTTTTTTTTTTTTTTTTTACCTTCTTTAGTATTTTCTTTTATTTTTTACTGTTGGAATAAATAAAATCAAACAGAATGTGTATGCCATTGTGGACAACTGAATGTCTAACTATTGGATTAAACAAAATAAAGAAAATTAAAAGAGGTAAGCGGGTGAGCAGAAAGTTAAAAAAAAAAAAAATGTGAAAAATTAAAAGGGGTAAGTGGGTGAACAAAGAAGTATGCTATCCACACACTCCATTTTACTTCTCACACACTTCTTGATAATTTTTGCCCGTTGATCTTCTTCAATTCATCCGATCCGACGGCCAAAAATTAAAAAAATATATGAGAAGTAAAATAGAATATTTAGATATCACATCCTGTGAACAAAAAGGGGAAAAGGGTGTTGAAAATTAAAATGGGTAAGCAGGTGAGCAGAAAGTAAAAATGAGCGCAGATGTCAGTCGTGAAACTCAGTACCCTACAAGCTTCTTGACAAAAGAAGGCCATTTGCCTCGAAAATTTGGTTGTCCACACAAGTCTCTCAGACGAGTTCACTGCCCATACTTTCATTGCATCTCAAAGGAAAAGCAACTTTTTTAACCTTCATTAAAGTACTTTTTGATTTAAGTGGCTTTCACAGGTTTCCATTTTTCAGGTGTGCATGGCAAATGAAACAACTAAAATTTCATTAGTGATGAGAACTCTTGGAACCGATTCAAGCGCAAGCATTTGTTCCCAACTAGAGCTGAAATGCTTTGAAAACAAATAAGAACTGAATTACGACTACAATACTCTTTAACCGAGTATCAAGGATCTCTACGCCCCGTGGTGGTGTACCGTACATACCCCAGGTAGGACAATGGTTTGGAAGAGGTTAAGGGATTGAACAGAAAAAATCAAACAGCTTTACCAGAATTCTCTTAATAAATGTGTAGTTACAGAAGCTACACTCCCCTACTTTACAATCCGGATACCATTCGAGAGGCAATAACCAATCGTTTAGAACTCTTCAACGTTATAACATAAATATATTCCCTTTCTTATTTCAACGTAACAATTTCACTGTAAATAAAAAATAAAAAAAAAAAAAAGTAAAAAAAAAGAACTGAGAATGCACCTCAATACTGTAAGCTACTGCAACCGGGGCTGGAGCTGGAGGGAAGAGAGAGAGAGAGAGAGAGATCTAATTGTTTGGTCAAAACTTTTTCACTTGAACGGGTGCCCCTTGCTTTGTTCCAGAATCAAGCATTGCCTCTAGAACAGCAACATCTCTGGCACCTTCCAAAAAGGACATGCGAGGCTCAGCTTCGTAGCTAGTCCCCTTCTGCAACAATGCAAATACAATCCGAAAATGGGGATGAACAGAAAACACAGAGACACACACCAGAGTAGTAAAACGGAAACAACTAAATATGTAAATACAAAGGTCACTTGGAACATGCTAAAAGCTAAAACTAAATAGCATGACGATTGGCATATGAATTTACCTTTAGAGTGGCCTGTGATATGTCATAAAAAAAAGCTCTGAATTCTTCATCCACACCGCTAAATTGGTAGAAGGAGCTTTTGCTTTGTCCATCAGAACCATAAAATAAAACCTATAATAGTACGATAAGCAATCAAGAGCTGGTCAATTTATTACAAGTTAATTTTGATGAAATTCGAGTCTTGATGGAAAAAAGGAAAGAATCCGATTCTGACATCCAACGTCACACAATTAAGTACACTGCAGGATGAATTTCAACATACCACGTAGCCATGCCGTCCATCTTGGTTCCCACGCTCAATTTGCAGCGTCCCCTTCAAGCCAGAAAATCGCCAAACTATCTGATGGTATAAAGCACCATGAGAAAAAAAAGTTTATGCAGATGAAAAACGATAAAGTGAAATTAAGTTTTGCCACATGCCTTTGGCGACCTTGAGGAGACCACCATCACAAAAACACCTGAACATCCATTCTCCAGTTGACTAAAGAAACAAAATCCAGTGGTCACATGTGGAATTGTTGCTGTGAGAATATATGGAGGGAAAAAAAAACAAATTCTGTAAATTAACCATATCCAATAATAACTTACAAGAGAGAGGAAATGCTATCTGGTGCCGGCAAGGTCTTGTCAACATGAGAGGTTGTAGCTGACACAGATACTAACTCACATCCAGCAAGCTGTTGAAGGGAACAGGACAGATTAAGAAACTTGTCGTAAGATGAATTTACTCGACCATGCTTTATGCATTTATAAATGATAACCTGAAGTTTAAACTAATCAGGCCAACTCTAAAACCAATTGCCTACAGGCCCAGAGAACCACATAACTGTTTCACAATATATACGCATCTACCAAGAAATCCCCAATTCCATGACAGTCCCATGAAGTAGTCACTTACGGTCACCAGATTCTAGATTCATTATTTGGTCTTTCTTCAGCATAAGTACATCTAGAATGTCAAATTCAGCAGATAAAACTTCAACATTCATGCTTGGATAAGCAGCAGAGAGTACATTAAGAGAAACAGAACGTGTTCACAGAAACCAAAACCGTACTTTACTGTCACTAAATACTTGAAAAATGTGACATTACCATCCTCAGTCCTGCGATGAAATGTACTACCCATATCCAGAATGAAACCTCCCTGCCATAAAGGAGATAATCTTGTTGAGAAAGAAAACCAAAGTAGTACGTAACGAATCTCAGGAAATCTTGCTTATGGTAATTTCTAATGAATGAGGAAGAAGTTGAAAGAAATCACTTACAGTAAAATCACGCCTCCAGGAGCTTGAGAAGTAAGGGTTTGAACTGTTCATTGATCCTTCAACAATAACTTGGATGCTCATCACGTCTCCAACTTCAGTCATTAGTTTCCTTCCCTGTGAAGCGACAATGAGGATATTTCAAGTTGAAAAAGTAAAAATAACTCAGCTGCAGTGGAAACAGAGTACCTCAACAAAAGCAGGTTCAAATCTATAATTTTCTGCAACAGCCCAAATTGGTTTGTCAGGGGCATTATCAACAATTGACTTATAACTTGACAGCGCAGTTTCCAATTCACTTGTAGCTGCATTATCAGATCAGTAATTTAGAAATTTGAACTTTTGGATTGAACAATCATATATCCTCTCATATTTTGTCTACCATTATATCTAATCCTGATATAGAAGCACTGGTGTGGTGTGAATTAGAGGTGATGGTCAAATAAGAAAGATAATGGAGGAAAACTGAATAGGAAGCACAGAAGCTTGAGGGAAAAAGAAATTCTTAAATTTGTTTTGGACACACAATCTGATGATCATTTTGTTTCTTATGTTCTTGCGTATAGCACACACCCTATGTGCTCGAAAGCTAGTTAATATCATGAAAAGTTTTGTGTGCAAGAGAAACCATAACTTGCATGCTACCTCAAGATGCTTACAAATTAACTTCAACCTTGGTGCAGTTGTATCATATGTGAAGATCCGGTAGACAATAAGACGATTAAATGTAAAAACAATGAAAGAAATAGCCAGAATCTTCAATTCTATATGTCATACAAATATACAAAATACAAAGGCAACAAATAACACAATAAATTCAACCGAAACTGCATCCTACTTACAAGCTGCCGCAGGTTTCTCTTCGAGTCCACCAAGTCAGCCAAACAATAGTGAGCAGATACAGCACGCAGAAAAATAGAAAAATTTAGTCCATACCATTGCATCATAATATTTAGACATTCAATAAAATAGAAAAAAATGCACCTCCCCGGCAGTTGATGGCGGGTGAAGATGGCCTCTCAAATCCTCACACAACTAACAATTACGTCGAAAATTAAAACTAACCTTGAAGCACATGCTTCCCTCCCTTGAGCATCCTCAGTGAGAAATCAACCTGCAACATCAGTTATTAAAATTAACAAACTTGTAGTCAATCCAACAGTCCAACTACATGAAGCATTCCTATAATACTAGTCATCCAATAAAGATCCTCACACATTCAAATTACCAACAAATTAGAATTTAAACCCGAAAGCTTTAAATTTTATATAAAAAAGAACCCCACAATTTATTCTTTTTTACAGAAGCTTGAGTTTTACCTGAGCTTGGCCAGCTAAAACAACTGCCACACCAAGAATCGAACTATCTGCAATAATTTCTTCAAGGCCCTTATCACCCCATTTGCATTCTACTCCTGGAAAATGCTTCCGAGCAATCTCAACCGCAGATCTAGCAGATTCCTACAACAAACAAAACCCACCAAAAAATTTGGAAAAAGATTAAAACTTTTATAGTTTGTAAATAAAACGATTAAAGCTTTTGGAAAATTGTACCTCCGTGCGGCTCCAAATGGCTTTGAGAATGAGGAGGTTGGAGATCTCAGAGAGCCTTGGAATGTATTGGGTCTTGACGAAGGTTCCAGCTCCAAGAATGGCAATCTGGGGTCCCATTTTTCAGAACCAAAATACAGTAAGTTGTCTGCTTTCTTGCAAATATAGCAAATGGGATTTTGATCCTGCAAGTTTGGATTGGAATGGATCTTTGCTTGATTTCCCAATTTCAACAGTTAAATTTGGGTTGGGAATTCAGTGACGATGGTGACTGAGAGTGAGAGCGGTGAATAGTTTTTAATTAAGACAATTATAAGAGAATTGCTATTACGTTTCCAAAAATTTCATTTTACGTTTTGAATTTTTTATTATATGAAAAAGAAAATACACTTATAAAAAATGTAAAATAAGATTTTTAAAGTATCAATAACATTTTATTTACCATAAATACTATATAATTAATTAGAGAATAATTATCATAATTTTAAAATTCTTATTTTGCACTTACATAACAGTTTTTTTATAATCAGGGGTTGTACAATTCACTTTTTGCCATGCAACGAAATTTCCTTTTTGGCATTATTACACCCCATTCTTGGGAAAAAGTATGTCAAGTCAGTGGATGAGAATAACTTACACATAATAAATATACATGTTCTTATTTTATTGTTAGAAGACGTTACGTAATAGTGTACTCATGTTATATAAGTCATTCTTTTACCCAGTAAAATGATATCGTGTCGTGAGTTGCTTCTTAAGTAGATTTCAATGAAAAAAACGTAACAGGTATTGTATCAATAGTAAATAACAAGTATCAATAATATTAACTATGAAAAATTTGAATTTAACTACAAAAGTAAAGTTGTTGGAACACACTATTTTAATAACTAACTTAATTAAACACAAGTTTGGAAGAGATCCTTTTAGGATCTCTTCCACCAAGGTTATCAGATTAAGTGATTCAGGCCTTTGAAATTTCATTTAACGGTCCACTTATTTTGATCTTTTAAAAACTATAACAATTTTGAACCGTTATGATGAAATTTCAAAAGTCCGATTCATTTGATTCAGGGACCTTGATGGAAAAAATCCGGAGAGGATTTCTTTCCCACAATTTTGCCCAACACAACAACTATAAATGTCATTAATAATTAATGTCTTGTCAATATTAAGTAACCGAACATGTCATTTGATTATAAGATTTTATCAAATATAAATGTCATTAATAATTAATGTCTTATCAATATTAAGTAGCCGAACTTGTCATTTGATGATAAGATTTTATCAATTATAAATGTCATTAATAATTAATATCTTATCAATATTAAATAGTCTTGTGATTATACAATCTTAGAGCATCTTTAAAAGAGATGTTAAAATATCAAAATCAGAGCATCAATGATTTCTAACCGAGAAGCCAAATATGATGTGGCATGACATGGAATGACATCTCTCCTCCTTTTGTAAAATTTGACAGCAGCTTCAAATGCTTTTTAATTAATTATTAAATATTTTTTTATTGTTTTCTTCTCCCCTCCATTTTCTCCTTCCTCTGTGTTTTCCATCTCTGTGCAAATTTCGTCCCCTCCCTTATCCATCTCAGTCCCTCTTTTAGTTGCCCACCTACTCACCTAGCATGTCGAACCCCAATTAGAACAAAGAGCTGGAATCTGGGACTGGTACTAGTCGTCATATGAATTTCTATTATCAATTATTTATATATGTAAAAATATAAAATATATAATAACAATTATGAAAAGAAAATAGTGTAATAAAATAATAGTTTAATTTGATATATCGGATGAAGAGCAAAACTTTAAAAATGTCAAAATACCATATAGGCTGTCAAATTCAAATTTTATGTTTACAATTTGACATCTCCTTTATAGATAGTCTTATCAGCTATATTCTTGTGAATATACATTTGTCCACTACTATCCAAATTTTCACTAACTATTTATTTACTGACTGAAAGTGTTCATTACATATTAGCTTCCTAAACTTTTGGGTTTGTGTGTCATTACATACTATCAAGACGACCTAGAGAAACTTGAATATCGGGAATATCTTCCCTCTTCCATGATTGGTCACGTGAGAAGAGAGAGAGATAGCGATATAAATGGGTACAAATTCTCCCAAGCTAGGAAGATCTATATGCACATCCATGAATCATCATAATTCAGCATCAAAGATGCCTTTTCAATTATTAGCTTTTAATTACATACAAACTGAAACAATCAGTAACATCATGATTCTCAGACACAGTTTGCAGTTAGAAATGAACTAGAAGATGTTGAAATATAAAACAAGTTCCTAGCAGAACAGCCGAAAGACGAATGTGGGACTATGCAAGTCGATGAAGTTATCTTCAGCAGCTTCCAATGACTGCAGAAATATGGCGTCTCTTGGTTCCTCACTCACTCCGCTTTGTGTAGCGTACTCCAATGCCATCTCATAGTCCACCTGCGAAAATTTGCACACATGATTAGGCCATGCGATTCAATATTGGCATATCTACTTGGGTTCATAAACGTCTACATCCACCTCCGTCCCAGTTCTTAAGTTTGTTGATTCTCACGTTGTTTTGATCTGTCGAACCAGATGTTTTCATAATAGCTTTTTAGTTAAAATGGTATTTGAGATTAACATAACTCCTGACTTTGGTTCTTAAGATTTGAAATTCATGAAAGTGGTTCATGAGTTTGTCCATTATCAATGAAATATTCTGTTAAATAAGGACCACAAAAATACGTTCAATTTAAAAATCATGGGCCAAAGAGAATTGACAAAAATTGAGGATCGTTTGGTCAGTTTTTATCCTTAATTAATGACTTTTTACAAAATGATCAAAATTATTGATGGTGGACAAACTTAAGAACTATTTCTATTGATTTTAAATCTCAAAAACCAAAGTGAGGAGTTACCAACCTTTGAGACCATTTTGGCTAAATATCCATTTTCTATCTAGAAACGATTAGCAAAGGAAGCTCGTGTAAGGTACGACACTTCATATATAGCGTTTTCCAATTCATGAAGTTCATTTTCTTGTAAAGCTGGAAGATGCAAATTCATTAAGGACTCAAAACCATCGTCGTGATTTTTTTATCATCAAGGACTCACAACCATTAAAGTGGTGAGTAGCTCATCAGTTTGTGTTAGTGATTGTATGAAAAAGAAGAATTATTTCTTCAAGTTTTGTATGTTAACCAGGCCTCCAAAAGTTTGTGTTAAATTATTGCTTGTTAATCGGATTTCATGTTCGTCGATTTTTCTCTTGATTTCTCATTTGGATAATTAAGCTTGCAATTATTACGGAAATTTCTTGATTGATTTCTGCAAATTTATAAAGGAAAGACTTCGCACATAAACTTAACAAACAAAAAAGTGTGCCTTTTACCTTCAGTTTTGTGTTTTAACAAAAACGTTTGTGTGAAATTATGAGCCATGCTACCATAACCAATGCCTATAACAGAATAACAAGTGGATAATATCTAATACGCGAAGTAGCACAACGGTAGCACAATAGTAAGAATACAATGTAAAAGTTTGTTCATCATCACCATCACCATCTACCACATTCCAGACGACGAGCAATTTTTTCATGATCCAGTTGATCACCGCGTGTGGCTTTAACGTGAGATGTAGTAAACCTTGGGACCTCACTGCCGTTACACCCACACCGAACAACAAAATTTCTGACGGATTTTGGTGCTATGGGTGTTGCCCCAGCTATAGTTGGTGTCCCATGCCTCTTGCCATCCCTGCACGTGACTCTACTCCCATGTCTCCTGTCAATTCTACACATGTTCCTCCACTATGGACATGTCGGTTTTTCTTGCTTTTTTAGTCTAGGTTGTTTTGTTATTTTGTCTACTTGCTTCGTCAAGATGACTGTGCCGCTACGGTGTTTTGTAGTCTCGCTCACTGCACTGGCTTTTGTGAGGGTTTTAAGAGCACTTCCAGCGTAGAAGCCCTCCCCCCTGGCTATTCACTATTTAATCCATCTTATGAACAGTAATTACCATTAATAAACAGTAATCACCTTTTGTATCTCCACCGTTGCACTTGAATAGCCCCAGTAATTGGTAATAAAATATTAGTATTTTATTTATTTATAAAATAATTTTATTTGCAATCCAATCCCAATTGGCAGCTCCTCTCTTGTCCCTCCCTCCCTCTATCTCATTCACTTTCCCAAATCCAATCCCAATTCGTTTTCTCAAGAATACAAAGAGGAGATTTTCTCTGCAAATTTGTGTGAGCTTTGAGAGGATGAAGGCTATGGAGGAAGTTGTGGAGGAAAAAGAAGTTAAGCCTTTGACCGCCGAGCAATTGGAGCTGTACGAGTCGCAGTCCGAGTCCAAGTCCAAATCCGACGACAGCGTAGACGAAGAAGAGGAGGACGCCGACGAGGACGACGACGCGGATGAGGGCGAAGAGGACGACGATGACAAAGAAGAGGACGACGACGAGGATGTTCAGGAGGTCATACAGTCGTCTAGTGGCCCTCTGATTCACTCGGTAGGTGTATGACATCAGCCCACGTCAGACAGCCCTCGGGCGCTCGAGCTGGCAGGAATCCACTGGCCTGGAGCTCGGGCCTGCTCGGGCTCGCTTGCCAGCCAACGTTGGACTTCCTCCCTCTGGCAATCAGGCCCTGTTCTGCAGCCTGTCCCTCAAGCAGTTGCTCCCGCTAGAGCTGCTCTAATGCTTGGTATATCACGTCTCGCCTACGTAGCATATCTGTTTCAAGACTCCTCATTTTAGTGATATGATTTGTGGGGTAATTGTATATGGGTTTTAAATTATTTGCGTTCTTGTGCTAATGTCCTTCAAATCAAGAAATTGATCACCAGAGCATATATACCCATCTACCACCCTTGTAATTAGTCTGTAATTGGTTTTTTGTGGTAATGAAACTCTATGGCTTCTGTCAAAACAAAACAAAAAATATTCCTTGACTCGAAGAAGAGTAGCATCACCACCACCAACAACATCCAACGCACTGAAACAAACACCACAAAATTATTAAGGTTTTCTTCAATCCCAAATTTTGGCAAGTTTAAATTCATGTCCAATTCCCCATACGAGAGAGAGAGAGAGAGAGAGAGAGAGAGAGAGATTTAACTTCTTGTCCGAGAACGGTAGTCATTGGGAT